CTACTTGGTTTTTATCCCTTTTCCCCTCTTATTTTCCCTTCCAAATTTTCGGCCCTCCTAAAAAGCACAACCAGTATCCCCCTTTTTCTCCCCTATTCTTATGCCTTTAAACCATCTTAAAAATCAACCCTTCATCCTCCTCCATATACTCGACCAGTCCACTCCCCTCCCTTTCCAAACCCAAGCTTAAATATATCAATTATGCTAGGCAAATGCCTGGCCTACTTGCATGCAAGAAACACCGTGCATAGGTAATACATATGTTCAGAGCAACACTTATCAATTTACTTCTCTTTAAAATAGCAGCTTGGTAACATACAAGGATTTCTTGCAGGGATATTAAAGGAGCAAATACATTAGTTGACCCCAATGGTGAAATCAAGCTTGCAGATTTTGGCATGGCAAAACATGTACGTATCAACTAAATGTTTTGGGTAAATCATTTACTACTCTGGAATTTCATGGCAATTAGTGAAAATGCGGTTTAACTAAATCCAGAATTTAACACTTGGATTTCAAAACAAATAGCTCTCGAGGAAGACATGGCATTATTTTCATTGTTTCTACACACCAAAAGCATTTTCTCTAGCTAGTCTCTTTGTATAGGGATGGCAATTCAACCCGAACCCGAGCTTAACCGACACGACCGACCACTAAAATATCCGAACCCGAACCGAGAATAAAATAAACCGAACCCGACCCGAAATTTTTTACCCGAACCCGACATCGGGTCGGATGTGGGTTTATTATTTTACCCGACCCGAACCCGCACCCGACCCGACTCAAACCCGAATATTTTATAACATAAAAGCCTATCTATGGATATAATAAGCACTCCGTATAATTTCTTGACAAAGTGCTACTATATCAAGTATGCCTTTATAATCATTTTTATAATTTCTTAATAAAAAAATGAGACAAAAAAAATTAGATGTAATCTTTTTAAAATTATTGGGGTACGCCGAATTGATTATTACTTAAAAGTCGGGTTGGTTCTGGTATAGTACTATCCGACCCGAACCCGACGCGTTGCCATCCCTATTTTTGTACAACTAAATGTAAACTTGAAAAAATACATTTACTATAAATAATTCATGAATTATTTAAAACTTATAAAATGTCTTTTGAATTTCAAATTAAATACACATCTATAATTAGAAAAAAACCATTTTGGGAAAGTACTTTACTATAAATGATCATTTTAAGTATTAATTCTAAATTTAACGGATAAAAATACCAAAATACCATCAATTAATCCTCATTTGAATAACATTATTTACGAAAGATTATCTTGGGAGTTGGAAATAAATCTCAATTATAAAGGATCACGTAGACAATTAAAACTTATTGAGAACTGATTTGGGATAATACTTTATTAAAAAGGACTATTTTGAGAATTTACTCATTTTTTCTTCTTCTAATCTAATCTCAATTATTTAGTAAATAATTAACCCGTGCAACACACGGATACGAGTCTAGTTACCAAGAACTTATGGAGAAAGAACGAAGATTGTGAAGTTCTTTGTTGTATTGTTTGGAATTCATATCTTAAAAAAATACTTCCTCCCTTTGTAAATGAAATTTTTGCTTTTCATTTTCATTTATGTCTCATACTCCATGATAAACTTTTACAAAATATCTTTTATTTTTGTTATATCTTTTATTTTTGTTAATAGAAATGGATGTGGCCAATTAACTCTCTTAATATAAATTAAATCAACACATTTTTACATTTTAAGTTTTGTAAAGCCAAAATAAGATTTTTAGGTACGAATATATTATAATGTCCATTTAAAAAAATCTAAATGTGTATTAGTGTATTGCACATTATTTTTGCACACGAAAAGTTTAGAAATCTAGAAAAGATATAAATCCAAATAGTTTAGAAACCTGAACTATGGTATGACACCGTGATATTGTAAAACATTTACGGAGTAATAAAAATTTGTGCAGATTATGACTCAACATTTAAGGCAGGTTTTGTGCAACTTTTTTTCCTGCTTATTACTTCTTTTTATTATAGCCAGATCAGATCAGATTTAATCAAATCAGATTAGACCATATCAGAAAAACTTTAATTATAAATGCAATCAGATGAAGTCAAATTCGATCAGATCAAACCAGATCAGATCTTCAAAAAATCAGATTAAATCAGATCAGATCAGGTGAATGGAACGTAGCCTAAGTCAATTTAAAAGATTGAAAGATATTCTTCCCATGCAATGCACGAGTATGGATTTAATATAATATTAATATAATATAGGAAAAAAGAATAAACTACAAATAAAACGTGAAGAAAGTATCAAAATAAGAGTTTGATCAAGTTTTTTTATCTCCAAAATAGAAGTATAAGGTCAATAACAGCAATATTTAATAGCAAAAATATAGTCGAATGCCACTGTGCAGTGTCATAATGTCACAATACAAACCTTTATTTTAAAAAAACATAGAACTTTTATTTTAAAGATGAATTTTAGGTTTTACCCTTATTCAGGTTATTTTTTATAATATTGTTAATGAATAAAATTTATAAAATTTAATATTCCCTCCGTCCATTTATTACTTTTCCACTTTTTTTTTGGGTTGTCCAAATTTTTTTCCTATTTCCTATTTCAGTCAAGAACTTTATCATCGCCTTAAAAAAAGAACTTTATCATTACACCCTAACTTTTTATCTATACTATTTAGTTTATTATGACACATCAAAGACAAACATAAAATTTTTACATTTTAAATTTTTTTAACCTTTGTGCCAAGTTAAAATAAAAAAGAAATAAGTAAATTCGATTAAAGGTCCTCAATTATAAGTCGTTTTACATATTTAGTTCCTACATATCAAATATTACTAATTTAGTCCCCAATTATTATATCCATTTCCACAAATAGTTCTTTGTTAACATTTCCGTCAAGAACGTGGATAAAATTGTAAATTTACACTCCTTCATCCTCTCAATTAAGCTTCCTCCTCTCCTCGCACTCCTCTTCCAAACTTGTCGGTGAGTTTGAAGCTTTGAACCCAAAAGGGAAATCATCAGTATTCTCTCAATTGTTTGTCTAACTGGTGGAACCCAAATTCGAAAGGGACGTGTAACCTTCATGGATGAGTTTTAATGTTTATTTTCTTTGCAATTTCTTGAGACTAACCGATAAAACTCATCCATAAATCTTATTGGTTTTAGGTTTCACCAGGAAGACTAATAATTGGGAGAGAAATGATCATTTCAGTTTTGTGTTTAGAGTTTCAAACTCAACGACAAATTTGGGAAAGTGTACGAGAGGATGGAGGAAGCTTAATTGAGGAGAGAGAAACGTATGAATATACAATTTTATCCATGTTCTTAACAAAGACGTTAACAAAGGACCATTCATAAAAAATGATATAATAATTGAGGTCTAAATTAGCAATATTTGAATGTAAGGACTAAAGTTTAAATATATAAAACGATTTATAACTAGAGAACCATAGGAATGAAGTAGCAAGGCTTAAATATGTTAAACTAATGGTTGGCATTTGTGGGAGTGGGACCCAAATCCCATTCCCCTAAATCCAGGTCTCCTACTCTACAAGGCTCCAAGCTCCATTTAATTTTCTATCTCTATCTCTCCTTTTTTTTCTTGTTTCTCCTACTTCCCCTCTCCATTTCTGCAGAAGAACCAAATTCCTAAATCCTTGCTCCCCTCTTCGTGCTCGCAGGTAGTTCATGCGAAATGCCTGCTTGGTGGGGGAAAAAATCCACCAAGAGGAATGCAAAAGACCCAAAATCTCTTTCCCCAAATTCTCCCAGTAGTTTGAAAAATGAACTTACAGAGAGAAGAGAGAGACCTAAGAGCTTCGGCGAGCTCTCTGGTATGGAGGAAACCAGGAACTCAACCAGAGCCAGTAGAGATTTCCCTAGCGCCAGAGGTTCTTCTGGATTCTCAGGCTTCGATTCTCCTTCTTCCATGGACAGAGGACATCCACTGCTGGAGCCGTCTGTGTCCCCTTCTTCTGTTGGAAATGATCACGGTATGAGTCCCTTAGCTTAAGTGGTTTTCTGGTATTTTTATTCTTATTCTTTGGTAGGTCGGGCAAGTCATTTTTCAGTAGGTGGAGTAAGTCTTAATTGCAGAAACATTTTTATTTCCTGTTAAACAACAGAGGAATTGGTGATAGCAGGCATAGTCCAGTCTCACAAAGCCCTGTCCATTCAAGGGTGCCTACAACCAGTTCTTTGCCTCTGCATCCTTGGTCTGGAGGGGTTAATTTCGATACTCCAGCAGGAAGGTTGGATGAAGGGAAGAGTGAAGGCCACCGGTTGCCTCTTCCACCTGGATTTCCTAATCATCTTCTACCGGCTTCTCCTACCAGGCCTTCTACTTTGCCAAATCCTAGAACTTGTGGTATAGCTGAAGCCTCAACTGTTAATCTATCAAAATGGAAAAAAGGAAGGCTTCTGGGAAGAGGCACATTTGGCACGGTCTATCTTGGATTCAACAGGTATGTCCATGCATTTGGTTTGCCTCTTTTAGCCAATCTTAAATTCTTTCTTGATGGCAGTACAACCATTCAAGAATGAATACTTTATTAGCTAATATTTACAGTGAGAATGGGCAGATGTGCGCAATTAAAGAAGTCAAAGTTGTTGCAGATGACCGGACATCCAAAGAGTGCCTTAAGAAATTGAACCAGGTTTGGCTTATTCATTAGTTTTCTTGAAGTTTTTTTTGTCCTTGAAACTTCTATTGTGTTCTTTACTTTCAATTGTTTTTCCTCCCTATTTACTTTTTTCTTTTCTGTCAGGAAATCACTTTGCTCAGTCAATTTTCACATCCAAACATTGTTCGGTATTATGGGAGTGAACTGGTACCTGGATTTGTTACACATGAGTTGAAATTTGCTCTTTCAAATTAATGGTGTGTGATTGCCAAGTTTGTCATGTCACGTAACATTTCTTTGTATTTTTTGCTTAGGGAGAAGAGACGCTCTCAGTTTACTTGGAGTATGTTTCTGGGGGTTCCATTCATAAACTGTTGCAAGACTATGGATCGTTTAAGGAGGCTGTTATTCAAAATTATGCTAGGCAAATTCTATCTGGCCTGGCCTACTTGCATGCAAGAAATACCGTGCATAGGTAATACATATGTTCAAAGTAACGCTTATCAATTTACTTCTCTTTAAAATAGCAGCTTGGTAACATACAAGGATTTCCTGCACGGATATTAGACGAAGCTAAAATATAGCGGTAAGTCAACAAATAACCGAGTTAGACTCGGGTCGTTCTCTCCAGGAGTGACGAAGGGAATAGTTAGTTTTATTATTTATCACAGGTAAATTTATAGTCTAAGAAACGTGAAATAAGGCGTCTAAAATAATTGATAAAATAACTTGAGGAGTTAAGATCAATACGCGGACTTAACAGACAATCAATAATTTAGAAACAGGTACGAATCGAACAAGTATATGGGCTAAGATAATAATTTTAGATTAAATTAGCTTCTTAATTAATTTGATCCCATATCATTAACTTATCCATTTTTCAGGCCTCATTAATGTGTCTAAATATGGTTGGCTAGATTATTTTTCTTAACTCATAGACAAGCTAGATAAATAATCTCTACAGATTAATTAATAAATTGGCCAGCAGTGAATCTCATTTTAGACAATTAAATCAAATTAATCAAGTTGCTAACTTAATTTTAATTACTAATCATTAGCCCATACCCTTAATTCAATTCATACCTAAGTATAAATTTAGCCACTAAAAGCCATTAGTTCACGATTTAAACTAAATAATAAAAGATAATTTTATTAATAAAGGAAAAGTTACAGGAAGGCTTACAGATTTTGAAGAACGGAATACAAATCGCTCAAATCTTCAGATCAACACTTGGGAATGATGAAATTTAATCCACTCAAATTTAGTACAATATTTAGAAATAAAAAGTGAAGATTTTTGCCCCAAAAAAGGGGGAAAACGGATTGGAGATGCATTGGGAAAAGGAGTATCCGCTGGCCATTTATAGAGAAGGACCTCCGACCGGCGAGCAGACCGGCGCCCGCCGGCGCGCCGCTGGAACCATCTGGAAACCTGATCGCCGCTAGCCGCCGTCGACAGGCGGGCAGGCAGGCGGTCGCCTGTCAGCCCGCCGGCGCTCTCCTTTGCTGCCGGTTCTGCTTCTCGCCATCGCCGCCTTCTGACCGGCGGCCAGGCAGGCTGCCGCCGGCCAGGTCGCCTGTCAGGCCGCCAAAATCTGCCGATGCTACCTTGCTCAAAATTTCGTTCCGAACATTTTTTCCTTCTGCACTGACTTCGAATTTCGCACCATTTGTGAGATAGAATTGTTTTTCTATTAAAATTTACTCTTTTTACTCTATTCTTGGCCCAATTTTATATATTATTTCAAAGACATTCTTTTTATTATCAATTTACCAAAACATATGTTTTTGATAAAAAAGAATAAATAATTTATTGTTTTGATAAAAAAAATGGTACAAGAACAAATTAAATATGAGTAAAAAGATAAGTACAAAACGGACTTATCAATATTTAAGGTGCAAATATATTAGTTGACCCCAATGGTGAAATCAAGCTTGCAGATTTTGGCATGGCAAAACATGTACGTATCAACTAAATGTTTTGGGTAAATCATTTACTACTCTGCAATTTCATGGCAATTAGTGAAAATGCGGTTTAACTAATTCCAGAATTTAACACTTGGATTTCAAAACAAATAGCTCTCGAGGAAGACATGTCATTATTTTCATTGTTTATACACACCAAAAGCATTTTCTCTAGCTAGTCTCTTTGTATAGGGATGGCAATTCAACCCGAACCTGAGCTTAACCGACCCAACCGACCACTAAAATATCCGAACCCGAACCGAGAATAAAATAAACCGAACCCGACCCGAAATTTTTTACCCGAACCCGACATCGGGTCGGGTCGGGTGTGGGTTTATTATTTTACCCGCACCCGACCCGAACCCGCACCCGACCCGACTCAAACCCGCTGTGTCCCCTTCTGTTGGAAATGATCACGGGGTAGGATTTGCATCTGGCTCTGATTCAGGATCTAGTGTTAGCTCTTCTGGCTCATGTGATGATCATAGCCGCATCGATCGTTCTCAGTTCTCCTCTTTCAGGTCTGTTTTTGCACCCTTGTCACCAAAGATTCATTTTTTTTTCCAGAAAATTTTGCCTAGGTTTCCTGGTTGGAGAGATAGATTATTGCAGTTTCACTCTTAACTTGATAGGCGCTTTTTTTTCGGAACTAGGGAGAATGTATTGTTAACCAGACTCTTTTCCCCAGAGTCTTTGTTTCACTGCCACTTTACTCAGATCTGGTTTTATGAGTCCCTTAGCTTAAGTGGTTTTCTGGTATTCTTATTCTTTGGTAGGTCGGGCAAGTCATTTTTCAGTAGGTGGAGTAAGTCTTAATTGCAGAAACATTTTTATTTCCTGTTAAACAACAGAGGGGGAGTTGGTGATAACCTGCATAGTCCAGTCTCACAAAGCCCTGTTCATTCAAGGGTGCCTACAACCAGTTCTTCACCTCTGCATCCTCGGTCTGGAGGTGTTTTTTTGGATACTCCAGCAGGAAGGTTGGATGAAGGGAAGAGTGAAGGCCACCGGTTGCCTCTTCCACCCGGATCTCCTAATCATCTTCTACCGGCTTCTCCTACCAGGCCTTCTACTTTGCCAATTCCTAGAACTTGTGGTATAGCTGAAGCCTCAACTGTTAATCTATCAAAATGGAAAAAAAGGAAGGCTTCTGGGAAGAGGCACATTTGGCACGGTCTATCTTGGATTCAACAGGTATGTCCATGCATTTGGTTTGCCTCTTTTAGCCAATCTTAAATTCTTTCTTGATGGCAGTACAACCATTCAAGAATGAATACTTTATTAACTAATATTTACAGTGAGAATGGGCAGATGTGCGCAATTAAAGAAGTGAAAGTTGTTGCAGATGACCGGACATCCAAAGAGTGCCTTAAGCAGTTGAACCGGGTTTGGCTTATTCATTAGTTTTCTTGAAGTTTTTTTGTCCTTGAAACTTCTATTGTGTTCTTTACTTTTAATTCTTTTTCTCCCTATTTACCTTTTTTCTTTTCTGTCAGGAAATCACATTGCTCAGTCAATTTTCACAACCAAACATTGTTCGGTATTATGGGAGTGAACTGGTACCTGGATTTGTTACACATGAGTTGAAATTTGCTCTTTCAAATTAATGGTGTGTGATTGCCAAGTTTGTCATGTCACATAACATTTCTTTGTATTTTTTGCTTACGGAGAAGAGACGCTCTCAGTTTACTTGGAGTATGTTTCTGGGGGTTCCATTCATAAACTGTTGCAAGACTATGGATCGTTTAAGGAGGCTGTTATTCAAAATTATGCTAGGCAAATTCTATCTTGCCTGGCCTATTTGCATGCAAGAAACACCGTGCATAGGTAATACATATGTTCAAAGTAACGCTTATCAATTTACTTCTCTTTAAAATAGCAGCTTGGTAACATACAAGGATTTCCTGCAGGGATATTAAAGGAGCAAATATATTAGTTGACCCCAATGGTGAAATCAAGCTTGCCGATTTTGGCATGGCAAAACATGTACGTATCAACTAAATGTTTTGGGTAAATCATTTACTACTCTGCAATTTCATGGCAATTAGTGAAAATGCGGTTTAACTAATTCCAGAATTTAACTCTTGGATTTCAAAACCAATAGCTCTCGAGGAAGACATGGCATTATTTTCATTGTTTATGCACACCAAAAGCATTTTCTCTAGCTATTCTCTTTGTGAACCATAAACAGACTAATTTTAACTATT